AATATTACGACCAAAATCATATGTCACGGACGACTTGCCATGAAGAGTTGTCTGGTCGGCTGTAAGACCGACGAGAGCTTCAGGATTGTCCACAGTTCCGTTGGCCTGATACACCAATGAAGGATTCAAGGTCCTTGAGTGTGGGGCAAGAATATAGTCTTCAAAAGGAACGGCGTGCGAGCCAATGGCCAACAAGGCCGGAGTCAAGATCCAGGATGACCACAACATGTTGACTTCGTAATGGCTCCGTCTCCACGAGCTTATGAAGTCTCCTCTCTCTTGAGCAACGCTGGTGACTATATACGTCTCTCACGAGTGACCTTGACCTGACATCAGAGCAGATCTGGCAGTACATAGTCGGGTGAGCAAATACCGAATGCAAGCAGACTCGGTTGAATCTCTGACCGAGAACTGCGCACCTCTAGGCCCTCAGCTTTCAAATCCTGCAGAAAGCGGAGATCATATCATCAGGATATGGAGACCTGTGTGGGGTTATGCGGCAGAGGCGGCATCTCTCCCCTGAGCTTGCCGAACCTTGTCGAGTCGAGTATAACGAGAGGTGTGCCGCGAGCTTGAAAACAGATCCCTGTTATGTAGGACAGAGAGCCATTTGGTGAAGGCATGGTCTCTTCTTGCAAGTTCCGTTTCCACGGTTAGTATTTTCACAGCGCGGTAACAAGGAATAGCATGGTGGATATTGCCGAAGAAACCCCGGAGAGTTCAGCAGGTTGCATTTCCCCGCATTCTGTGGGGAAGTCAAATGAGGAGGTGAGGTCGGCCTGATCAAAACATATTTAGGCAACTGAAGATCGTATGACAAACTGGGCTTGGTTCTCTTACATGATTCTGTCATGACTTCAGCATGGAGCAATTGGTCCACGATCACTGTTGAGCTCGAACGAGCAGTTCAAGATCATGAATGTTCCCCCCCTCCCTCCGTTTCTTCAGCAAACCGAAGATCAGAGGGCGGTGAGGGATTTTGGACAGGGCGGTAAAATACTGTCGGCAGTGCCAAGTTGGAGAGCGTCCACTTTTAGAAAAGGGAAGATGGAAATAGCCACCACTCACACGATGCTGGCTTCCAACAATGCTCGGGCTAAAACATGCTACAAAGCCTCGCTCACCGGTACATAGTGGGAAAATCCCTACAGAGCTTGTACAGAGGCGAAGTCTTTTTCGGTCGAATATGTCTCAGTTCTTTGTTGCATCTGAAGGGCAGGGAGGGATTCTAGGATTTTGACGTCATTGGACAAGGCGCATTCCAGATCGCTCTCGATCCGATCGGTTTCGATCTCAATTCCTTCAGCCCCCTACCTCCACCCGGGTTTAGTTTTTGTCGAAACTGCTTCGCGTGCTCTGAGGCCATGCTGTGGAAACGCGCGTTAGTCTTCTCACCACAATTGTCCAATTCGCTTCTTTTTCGCACAACGCGCATCTGTCACCTGGCCAACGCTTGTCCAGCTTCTTGTCTTACCATGCCACGCCCGAAGCGCAAAGCATCTAGCAGCTCAAATGCTCGATCGGAGTCCACCAACGGCACCGCATCCGCGACCACCAAGCGTGGAAAGCTCGACCTGTCGCGTCCGCATCCCCATGCGAAAGACACCGAGGATTTCGGCATCGTCCTTCGAGAATACTATCCACCTGAGATGTGCAATGAGCGGGTGCACGCTTACAACGATGGAACATTGGAACGACCAATCGAGGAGCTACAAAGGTCTTACGAAGATACATTGGAGGCGCGCGGATCGGTTCAAGCTGGTTCCGCGGTTGTACACTGGTTCAAGTCCGACCTACGACTGCATGATAATCGCGCTTTGCAGATGGCGTACCAGGTGGCCCGCGAGCACAAGGTCCCACTGATATGTCTGTATATCTTGTCTCCCCAGGACCTGACAGCGCATCTATCCAGTCCAGCACGGGTTGATCTGACGTTACGTACACTTGGAGTGTTGAAGAGAGACCTGAACGAGCTGGATATTCCCCTTTACATGGAGACACAAGAGAAGCGCAAGGCGATTCCCAAGCGCATTGTGGGCCTGTGTAAGGAATGGGGTGCGAGCCACCTGTTCGCGAATATGGAGTACGAAGTCGACGAGTTGCGCCGTGAGGCAAAATTGGTCCGCATGTGCGCCGAGAACGGTGTGCGGTTTGAGGCAGCTCATGATGCTTGCGTTGTCACCCCTGGAAAGCTCCATAGTCAGCAAGGCAAGCAGTATGCCGTCTATAGTCCATGGTTTCGCGCCTGGTGCGCGTTTCTCAAAGAGAACCCGGAATACCTCGAGGTGGCGGAGGAACCGGGATCTAACCCCGGAGATGCTCGGAAACATTTCAAGGAATTGTTTGACAGCCAGGTGCCCACAACACCTGAGAACAAGACTCTATCCGACGAAGAGAGGGAGCGCTTCCGTCAATTATATCCGGAAGGCGAACATGAGGCTCTGCGACGGCTCGAGGCTTTCCTCGAAGAGAAGGCGAGAGACTATGGTGATCAGCGCAATTATTTGAGTGGAGAAACCACGTCTGTTCTCAGTCCCTATTTTGCGTCAGGCTGTCTCAGTGCACGAACAGCTGTAGATCAAGCGCGTAAAGCGAATAAGGGCCTCCTCGACCGTAATCAAACGGGCCACATGTCATGGATAAGTGAGGTTGCTTGGCGTGACTTCTACAAGCACGTATTGGTCCATTGGCCGTACATCTGGTTCGTCTCTTTTCGAAAACTGTTATTACAAGTGCTCTGGCTGACATGAACCAGTATGAACAAATGTTTCAAGCCGGAATTCACGAACCTTGAATGGGAATATGACGAAGAACAATTTGACGTCTGGTGCCAGGGCAAAACTGGCTTCCCAATTGTCGACGCTGCTATGCGACAGCTAAACCACGCTGCATGGATGCACAATCGTAGTCGAATGGTGGTGTCATCATTTCTATCCAAGGACCTGCTGATTGACTGGCGGCGTGGGGAGCGCTATTTCATGGAACATTTAATTGATGGCGACTTTGCGTCCAATCACGGCGGCTGGGGTTTCGGGTCGAGTACTGGCGTCGACCCGCAGCCATATTTTCGGATTTTCAACCCGGTTCGACAGAGTGAGCGATTTGACCCCGACGGAGAATACATTAGGAAGTGGGTGCCGGAGCTTCGGGAGGTGGAGGGCAATGCGATTCATGATCCGTATGGGCGGGGAGCCGGCGAGGTGGCCAAAAAAAATGGATATCCGCAGGCGGTTGTTGATCACGCGAAGAGTCGAGATCGAGCGTTGGCGCGTTATAAAGCAGCTCAGGGCCATTAAATTCGCTGCAGGCGTGAAGAAGCCAGGGCCAGTGGGTCAAGTTGGATAACTAGTAAAAAGAGACTATTGCAAATAGAATTTTTAGCCAATCGTTTAAAATATCCTCTGTAAGTAACCGAGGTATATTTTGCGCAGTTAATTTATAGATTTCCTGGACGGAGTTAGTCCCGCCAGGCAATCGATCACCATCCGGGAGGATTGAATAGCTGTCAGCTAGTGGTGGCATGCTATTACTGAGTAGATGCAAGAACCTTAACTACACGTACTGTGAGATGGTCAGTAATCCCGGTTGTGGTTGCCAGCGTGAATGAGTGGTGCGTGCGTGCAGAGGGCAGAAATGCGGAGGAGGCGGGCATCCCCAACAACTCCAGCAACCCCAGCAACTCCAGTTTCGGTTCCACCATCGGTCGGTTTCCCCGCCGCCTTCTACTTTGTTCGACTGTTTCTAGCACTGGGACTGTTACGCACCCTTGTCAAGAAAGCTGCTCTGTGAAGATTTCTTTCTTTCTTTCTTTCTTCCTTTCTTCTTCTCTGCTAGCAAGCTACTGCTTCTTGCTGCCATCAGAAATCTCACCATCGTATCCCACAACCCGTGATCAAATCAATGTGACTGTGCTTCCCCGCTCCGAACCGGCTGGCCTGGGCGAGTGAGACTAGTGCCCTCGCTTTCGCTTCCTTCGGCTTGGCCAAACTGCTAACCTCTTCTTGCCCGTGGTTCCTAGCGACCTGGCCAACTCATTTCAATTCATCTGATTTCTATCTTCATCTTGACTACCCTCCGAACCCTCCCCAACTCACCAATGTCGGATTGAAATGGATCAGTCGGGGGACGCCCAGGCATCCAACGCTCCAGCAACCGCCGCCGAAGAGTCGACCAACGGAATTATCACCAAACGTCGTTGGCGGCGCAACCGGATCGCATGCGACTCCTGCCATTCGCGTCGCGTGCGCTGCGACCGAGCTTTTCCATGTTCACGCTGTCTGCGCAGCGATATTCGCTGCGAATTCACTCGCGAACGTAGGAAAAGAGGCCGTATCGCCCGATCCCGATTAACCGAGACCAACGCGGTGCCGGAGAGAGCGACCCGCCCGGTCGACGACGAACAACCTGCGCTTCCGGTGTTGGCGGAGACAGCTGGCGCTTCAGGCCGAAGGGGCTCTCCTGTCTCAATTCTGCAACACAAATCCCCATCCACAAATGACATCGCCGCTTCGGTTCCGAGTATCGACGAGCGACGCTCCCAAGCAGATGCTACGCTCCCTCCTCGCAGACCTCGGCCTGGTGAAAATCCAACGGAGGAATGGTTATCTGCGACTCATGTGTCGCCCGGGTCCTATGAACCTCTGGGAGGACTCGGTCTGGGCGAGGGACCTTTTCCCCGGATGTTTGATATTTGGCAAGGAGTTGAGCTAGCTGGTTATAGCGATCCTACCTCAACAGCATCCAAAGCGACCGGCATCGGGCAGACATCCGGGTCGGCCATTGCAGCATTGAAATACCCGGTGCTTATGCCACTCATGCCGTTCCTCGAAGGAAATCTGCCTCGCAAACTCGTGTTCGATCTTCTTGAGTTATATTTCACAAGCGCATTTTCAACTCATATGCACCCAGTCTGTCATCACATACATTGCTATGTTTTACGAAAGGCATCCTTCTTCACTCGGGAGACACCTCGTCCTAGCAGTCCTGCTCTTCTAGCCAGCATGCTCTGGGTTGCCGCCTTGGATGACCGTGCTTTCGCCTTGCCCATCTCTCCGCCACAGCGCAAGAAGATCTGCCAGTTTCTGTGCGCCCTGACAATCAGACTACTCCGCCCATTAATCCACGTTTCATTCAAGGACTCAGAGGGCGCAACCGCGAGTGAGGCCGCCTATGCCGGTCTTGGACCAGAAGGTCCGCCGACAACCGTTCATCATCCGTTTGAAGCTGGAGGAGACGACAGGGGCCTTGTTGGTCCAGCGGGTTCGTTGGACGATGTAATTACTTACATCCACGTGGCTTCGATAATTTCATCGAGCGAACAGAAAGCAGCAAGCATGAGATGGTTGGTCTACCCATAATTGTTATCTGTGTATGCGGTGCTAATCTGTTCCAGGTGGCATGCCGCATTTACTCTAGCCCGAGAGCTCAAGCTGAATCAAGAGATCGAGGTAGTGCCTAATGAGGATAGTCACCACACGGATGGCTCTAGTCCGTCCTTCGACTATTCGTTGGCCGGCTGGAGTGGCGTCGACACCGGCCCCTTTTTTGATTACTCAAACCCTGCTCGGCCAAGCCTGAATTGCGTATGCGATCGGAGCCACGATGTACGTACCACAATTACCGAAGAGCATCGCGAGGAGCGGCGACGGACATGGTGGCTACTATACATCATGGATCGTCACCTTGCGCTTTGCTACAACCGCCCATTAGCATTGCTCGACGCGGAGAGTGAAGACTTACTTTTGCCACTGGATGAGGGATCGTGGCAAGCGGGTAATATCCATAGCAACAGCCCTAAGACTGACGGACCACAATGTCTGCTGTCTGGTGAGAAGAACAAACGCCGCGTCTTCCCCAACTTTGTCTGCCACGATCATTCGATTTTTGGTTTTTCCTGCCCCTGATGACTATCACGGGCGAACTGATAGACCTGAATCAAGCACGGAATCACCCGATGCTCGGTACGCGATTTAATGGCAAAGATGCATGGGATAGCCACGTCAGTGAGGTACTACGACAGCTTGATATCTACAAAGCTAGTCTTACGACCTTTGCGGCCATCGCCTCTGATCCTGATGGCCCTATGCCTGGTGCTTTTCCTCCCAAGCCCGATCAGCAGCCGACCGAAGCTTCGCTTGCGCAAGCGTATGCGTGGCATACACAGACGGTGATCTCTTACGCATCATACCTGGTTCATGTGCTCCACATCTTGCTTGTAGGGAAATGGGACCCGGTGTCACTTATCGAAGACAAGGACTTCTGGACGTCTTCCCCTGCATTTGCTTCGACCATCTCCCATGTGTTAGAGGCTGCGGACTCGGTGGATCATATCCTACGATATGACCCTGATATCAGTTTTATCCCATATTTTTTTGGAATCCAACTTTTACAAGGCAGTTTCCTTCTGTTGCTGATCGTGGAGCGATTGCAAAAAGAGGCGGGGGATGGGATTCTAAATGCGTGCGAGGTGATGATCCGTGCAACGGAATCATGTGTTGTCACTCTGAATACGGAATACCAGCGAAATTTCCGACAGGTCATGCGGAGTGCAGTGGCTCAGGCGCGCGGGCGCCCCGTTAATTACAGCGAGATTCGACACCGACGCAAAGCTGTGTTAGCGCTGTATCGATGGACACGAAAGGGCACGGGGTTGGCCCTGTGAGGTTAGGCGACACGGCCTCCTCGGCTCTACTCTTGTCTCGAGTACAAAGGGTGGGGAGGGAAGTGGCAAGGATCTTAAACTATTTGCAGGGATCAGATCTAGCCCGTTACCCCCTTCTCCTTTCCCCGGAGTGATATGCAGGCACATGCTGCATGGTCGTAGCTCTTCGACCTAACAGCCGACCGACCTGCAAGACTAGTAGGAGTGGGGAACTGCCTGGCCCAGATGCGGTGTATAGGAGACAGGTACCAGCTGATCCCGACTTCGACCACAATCGTGCTCTGTATATACGATATGAACCTTGGAATGTACACATTATGAGAACAAGTTCCGAGGCTATGCATAGTACCCAGTATAATTGAAAAAAAAACTACATAAATCTCTTTCTTCTCATCGAGGACGGTCAGACAGGAGAGGTGCAAAGGTAAATTGGCTTGAAGGTGATGATTAACCGATCCCATCTGGGGATGTGAAAGCCGATGCACAAACAAACCCAAACTGGCGGTCGGCAAATTTGGACAGGATCAGTTGACCAGTTGACTTTTCCCCGCAAACCCCAGACTTCGACCCCAAATAACGGCCCGCCTTCGCCTTTTCTCCCATTCGGTCCGAGCTCTTCAAGCTCTCGGTTAATTACCACCAAAAGGACCGAGATCATGCAAGTGCACGGTGCCAGATGGTGCCAGACGCAATCAACTCTGATAATCACTGCTCGGCTGGGTTGTTTGAAAACCTGGGGGAGTTGGAATTGTTCGGTTAAAAAGGCTACCCCGGGGAACCCAAAAACCATGCTTCCTTGTGATCAGATCTCGTTTCTATCGAATCACTATTACCCTTGCGCCCTTTTTCAATTTACCGATCGCAACTTCATCGTGGCCGCCATGCTGTACTTGTTCAAGCTGCATCTCCACCACCGCTTTGAATCATGTTTCATTCAAGCTGTTCGCCGGAGTTTATCCTGCTTTGCGCAGGTTATAAGCTTGCTTTCCCGCCCCGTGCTTTCACCCCCGGAGAGGTTTTGCTGTGGCTCTCGAAGCATTCGTGACCGAAGGGTTCATCTTTAGCCACAACAATAGCGAACTACTGAACGCGTCAATGCTCACCTTGCAATGAGCGCGAGATTCTGACTGCAATCTACAAAACAACGAGTCACCCTCCTACCACCTATTCCCGTGAAAAAGACCAACGCAATGCTCGACTCCGATTTCTCTACAGACGTGCCGATGTGGTTTCCATTGGACTCGTTAGAGGACCAGGCTTTCGCTCTAGGCTCGGAGCTTGTCGGCGAAGACTTGTACGGGAACCAGCTGGGTGTCAATGAATTTGACCTGTCGTCTGCCCATTTGTTGAGCCTGGAGCTTTGCGCCGACTATGAGTCGGCAATGGCACAAGCTGCTTCGGACCAATTTCGGGTTCCCCATGTATCAGGGATTCCTGATACGCCAGCCTCCTCAGGATTCGTGGATAAACTGACCTCGATGTAAGTCTGCCACAGCAATTTAGATTCTCCTCCACCAGAAGTTACTCCTAGGGGGTCGGGCTTGCAGGAAGCCGGGAATCTCTCTGCACATGGGCTGACTAGAACCCCTCACACTACTAGATTTGAAGAATCCACTTTCAACACTACCCCCGATTCGAAGTCTTTCCCCGCCCACCTCTCCCTCGATGACCTTCTCCGTTCGACCTCCCAATTAGCCACCGAGCGAGCCCTCTACATGAACATTCCGGGAGCTATCTCGTCACCACAGTCGTCATCGCACGATAGCCTCAGCGCTGGGCCCCCATTCGGCCAATCGCCCATTACGCAAGAGCCCTGCAGCTCGCCGGGAATGAGCCATCAATCATACAGTGGGAGTGAGGGAGACTGGGAACGGGAGTGCAATTTGAGAGAGCCCGCACAGTACTATCGGCTTCCAGACATGGGACTGTCGGACAGCCTGCCGCTCCCTCCTTACCCCCTCGACGGGATGATGATGTCTGAGCCTCCGTTCAACGACCCACACCCACCTACTATTACGTTGCAAGCAGGTTCGGAGCAAACTTGCAGCCGCGGGGTCAAAGGCAAGGCCAGGGCAGAGTACACTGGAATGAATGATAACAATGGACTGAAATCCCCCAATGCGATGGAAGGACTGACCCCGCTGGAAATGCCTGACGGGAGCACCCGGTTCACCGCAAATTGGCTCCCCGTGGACCCTGAAGGGGGCTTCACAATCCGAGACCCCTCCGTCGACCATTTCAACCATCTCAACGACGACCCTCTGGACATCGACCCGATGATCGAGTGCTATGCGCAGAATGCATTCATCTCGGTCCCCACGGATACTGGATTCCCTTGAGAAGCCGAGAGGCAAAACCGAGATCAGGGAAAATAATTCAAACCAAGGACTCCCGACCCGAAGAAAAAAAGATTGCAGATCGGGTAATGATGATGGGGAGGTGGCCTTCGGAGCACCGAGGGGACACACCACAAGCACGCACGCACGCGCACACACTACGCTAGCTTACTAGCCTCGATCACGCCTAGCGCCTGCAAGAGCAATACAGGCGACCGACCCTGGACCGATGCGGGGACTCAACCACGCACCGTCGCCATACGTTCCAGGTTTGTCCCCAAGCCTCAACGACCTCCCCGAATCGAGCGAGTTAGTCGATTGAGAGCGACTCGGGCCCAGAGGCCAACCCAACAGTTGATTGCTTTGCACGCTGTGTGCGCGTGCTTGCTAAACTGCTTTGCCGTGGACAAACGTACCGGCGCCTTCACTCCTCCCCTCTCGCCCCTCCCGGACTGATCTCCACATTTGGCAATGAGCACAGTCGCATGTGACCGGATGGACCCATTTGCCTCCATCCAACGGATAATTATCAACCAGTTCCACCACCGTCACCGTCATGGGCCAAAATTTCCCGCCCGCCCGCCGCCCCCGCGTTACCCAGACAATCCAAACAACACCCTGCCGACCCGCCTAGATTAAACCTTCTCACCCTGGCTTTCTCAGCATTGGAATCTAGAGCAAAGGCGGTCGGTCCAGCGTCTAGCCACACTCACCAACTTTACCGCGCATTAATATGCACACGCATGTATTGAGCTGCCGACGCAATTCTTGAGCTGTCACGCCGCGTCTAGCGAGAGGGCGGCCCTCTTGCCCCCCGGCCCCCCCGCTTTTTCCTGCACTGCCACCTACCATTCTCCGAGCTAGTCTAGTGGTTGAGCTTCTCGAGGAGGCTCTGGGCACGACCACTTTTCCACCCTCCCTTTCTCTGAATGGAATCATGTGAACGTGCTCACAACTGTCCGTCTTGACTGGACACCCTCCATGCCTGCATTTCTGGAAGATGCTCTTGGTGCGATTTTGCGCTAGGGACTCAGACTTGAACTCGGGGTGGCGGCAGCTGCTGGCACCCTCCCATTATCATTTTCACAATATGTATATATAGATCGAAGCAATGACTCGTACATATACTCGCAAAAGAGACAATTGACTCAAACCGTGGTCATTTCACATTTACAACTGACCTGTAGATCAGAAATTTCACTTTCTTATTTTTATGACCCAGCTTTCATCGCCAGTCATATTTTCGTGGATAAGCCGCGACGTCAAGGCATCAATTGCGCATATGGAGCATCAACGTATACAAGCATCCAGCTATTTACCATATCGTACATTCGAGGTACACAACTTAAAAAAATAAATTCGCCTTAGGACGCCGCCTGTAACCCTCTTGCCCGCAAAAACAAGAAACGCCATAACCATTTCCATCTTGCTCGCTCGCTGCGACAATCGAGATGGTAAAATCAAGGCAAAGACAATCGTAACGGAAGGGAACAATTTCGCCCTCCTCGGTGGTATTGTTTTACTTCCCTCCCGCCCTCACCGACGAAGAGGTACACTGGTTCGAAAAGACCGGAAAAGCAAATCGGCGGCCAATGTACGCGAACAGCTCCGACATGAACTGCTTCTCGACCATGCCGTCGGGAAAGTTGTCGAACGCGGTGCGGAGCACGAACATGATCCGCGAGACCAAGCAGCCGGGGACCATTTGGATGTAATATTTCATGCTGCGGCAGATGTTGCAGGCGAACTCGTAGCGCTCCTGCAGGCCGAGCACGTCGACAAGTCCGGTGTCGGTAGCGGAGATGACGAGGTTGAGTGCCCAGTAGTAGCACATCGACGTGGCTAGTAATAGATCCGGGTAAACCAGGTTGGTGGCTGCAGTGATCTGCATCGTGCTGGGATCGCGACACCGGAAGACGGGGAAGGAGTCATCCCCGCAACCGTCGGCCCCGCTCCGTTTGCTGGGATGGAGATCAAGGCTGGACTCCTCGCGTGGTCCGCCTCCGGTGTATGTGTCGGCGTAGGTACGCTTCCACATCTGGAGCATGCTTTGCAGTTCAAGGGCACGGGCCCAAATGGTGGACTGCATTCTGACCAACTCGGATGGCGAGACTGCCGGATTTCGCCTTCGCAACGCCGCTTGGAGATCGTCGATCTGCGCCAGGTAGCCCGGAATATGAACGGCAACGTCGAGGAGATGTTGAAGGATGTCTTTTGACGGTCCGTCGCAAGACCAAGGCACCGTTAGCCATTCATCCGAGGACAAGAAAGTCGGCTTACGATGCACCAATGCGGCAGTAACCTATATACTTCGGTCAATCCAGATCGGACGCCAAATCCCAAACGAGAAGATAGTTGCTAACCCAGTATAGTCGCAGATCAACGAACAGAGATCTTTCGACTCCATGCCGGTGGCGATAAGGGGTTCGTGCCCGCAGTAGCGCCAAGCCGCCCAGCTGGTGTCGAAAAATGGAGGTCACCGACGTTTGTCTGAAAGCCTTTCGCAATAGTGAGTATGATGCCCGACTCCCCCTTATGTAACCGAAAACGTACTTCAATAATAGTAGACAGCAAGACCACTAGCAAGACCTCGGTCGATTGATTGCCCTCGGGTTCATTCAACGCCGTCTGGAGAAGATGAAGTACTTTGATATACTTGGAATCGCCTGCAACCTCGAGAGCCTTGTTATGATATTGTCTTCCGGCAAATGTGAGTGATGCCGCTTCGAAAGCCTTGTAGAGGATTGGTGAAAGTATTCGCATCTCTTTGGCCTCACGTAGTGCAATGGTGCCACTGACATTGACCGGACTGAAGTTATCAACCAATCGTTCGATGAAGAACTCTATTGCAACACCAGCTGCCATTGGGTCTGTCAGAACACGCTTCTCTTTCAGAATCGGAGTGGACCTGTGAACTAGACCGTCGTAAGCGGCAGGGCAAGTGTAAGTTGGAGTGCGGAAGGATAGAGCATACTTCGTCGAATTATGTTGCCTTCGTGGTCCTCGCTACATACCGTAGCATCGCGAGGAATCAACGATAACTGCTCAGGGTCTCCCATAGGCAAGTCTGAATCCTCAAGTGCATCTTCATCGTCCCAGTCGTCCGTCTTTTGGCCTGTGTGAAGTGGTCTCCTTCTCGATAGCGGCCTCTCCTCGGCCTTCACAGCAGGTATGTTGGCAAGCTGACGAGCCTCCGCCAGCTGCTGCTTCAGGCTCTCACAAGAGCGTAGCAAGTTGTCAATGAGAGTTGCTTGTTGAATATACTGGCGGTCTCGCTTGCTGGTGCCATAATCACATTCCGAGGGAGTGCCCCGTAGACAGCAAGCACCGCATGGTTTAACACGATCGCACTGTTACGGTATGCTTTAGTCCAAAGCTGCAGATAAGTAATGACAAGATGGTTGGAACAAAGTGGTGGTGGCGAATGCCTCGCATAGGTGTTCAGTGTAGTGTGGTGTGGATATACCTTGACTTTGCGTTTATGGCAATTTAAGCATGAATAGGTGGGCCGGACTTTCTTTCGCGCAGCCGCTTTGCCTGGGGCGGGAGGATCAAGCTGATCCTTTTTCGGGTGGTTCTCCAGGGTACCGTTGCTCATGGCAGTCGAAGGGGTCGAAGGTTATGCGGCTCGCCACCTGTGGTTGCGAGGGAAAGGCGTTGCTGAAGGGTCGTGTTCGTGCCAGCTCAGGTCTTGGTCTTTATGTGGAAGCGATGCAGGCTGGAATATGGATTTTTGACAAACAAAGTCTATTGTCAGAATCATGGGATGGAGGAAGGGAGAGGCTTCTAAAGTCCGGCGTGCAACCACAGGCTAAGAGATAGTAGTAACGGTCATCGAGCACCATCAGTGGTGGCTTACACCAGGAGAAATGACGACGAGACCTCCGATTCTGCAGGGGTGTTCGTGGAGTGCTTTGGCTCCAGGGGCGGGCTGGATCCGTGGTTTAACATGACGAGAGGCCTAAAAGCTTTCGAATCATGCCCGCCCGATCAGTTTGATTATTTCAAATGTACTGTCTAGCCCGGCCTTTGCCTCTCCCCACTTTCTCGCAGCGACCTGGTGGCGGTCCCAGTGATTCGACCAGTCTAAGGGATAACAGACAGGCGCCGTCCCAAAAGGCTTTGTGGATCAGTCACATCGAGATCGAGGACTCAGCATATACCAGCAATCAAGGCGTCAATCATTGGCCAGGATTGCAGAGTGTGTCATTGTAGTCTGTCTGCTCCCTTGTGGTTTGGAATCAATTTCCGTCGCTAGCTGGAAGGGGAAGGGACCCCGCCCGTAGCTCTAGGGGAAGATCTGATCAACGCCGGGTCGGGCCTGATTAGTCAATCGAGTGATCGGGGATCCAGGGGTGCCAAGGAAGGTGATTCCCCCCATGTCGATCGAGCATTGTGCAGAATGTAATAAATTGCCTCTTTGAGGACAAGTGATGATACAGAGCGTGTTCAATCACATTGTCTTTCCCAACCTAGATCAAGGGCCACCAGACAAATGACATTCAGAGGTAAATCCCGTTGATGGATCTCTGTCACCGCAGAATAGGAGGTTGGTTCTGTGATGGTCTGGCGATCATTGCGGTAGGCAACGAACACGAACCCTGCCACATCGAAGATCGTCGCTGTCAGCCATTTCCTGGAAATCCCTCGACATTGCTGCATCATACCTATTCAGTCATAGCGTCTTGTCTCATGCATAACAACGTTGAGACATCGGGCCAGTAACTAACTACCTTACACAAGCAGCCAGGTTGTCAGCTTATTGCCGTTCCAGCACGAGTGAGAGATGCCCTTGCAGTCATTGCAAACGAACTGGAGTCATCCTGTTCACCTTTTGATCGTAGTCGAAAGTGCGTCTCCACAAATGGCGCGAGGAACGAATGAAGGATAATCTGTTGCTTGGTGGGGATGGATTAAGGCGGGAAAGAACTGGCCGGAGGGAGGTCACAAGCAACAAGTTTTAGTGGTCTTCGTTTGGCTCCCCGTCAAACATGCAAAAATAG